CTCACTGCAACCTCCGCCTCCCAGGTTCAAGTGATTCTCCTGCCTCAGCCTCCCGAGTAGCTTGGATTACAGGCACACACCACCGTGCCTGGCTAATTTTTTTATTTTTAGTAGCGATGGGGTTTTGCCATGTTGACCAGGCTGGTCTCAAACTCCTGACCTCAAATGATCCACCCGCCTCGGCTCCCAAAGTGCTAGGATTACAGGCATGAACCACTGCGCCTGGCCTGTATTCTATGATTTTTAACAAAATAGCAGACCTAACTCCTCATGTAAATCCGCTGCTGGCTTTCCTCACAAAATGTCACAAATATCATCTCAGATCAACGGAAAGAGAACTGACACATCCTTCTTAATCAGCTGCATAATGTCACACAGTACGAACAGACCGTAATTTACCCATCAATTCCTCCACTGAGAGACATTCAGATGGTGCCCTGGTACTTTGCCAGCATAAGTAACACTGCAATAAACAATCCGATAATGTATTATCAGGCCCTGATGTTTTCCCTTTCATAAAATAGAGTCTTCAAGATGCCACTGTCAGGTCAAAATGTACACACGTCTTAATTTTTAAATAGTCTATTATTTTAACCAAAAAAAATGTCCTCATAAAAAAATACGAATAAAAGTATAAAAAGGGCTGGGCATAGTGGCTCACACCTGTAATCCCAGCATTTTAGCAGACGGAGGAGGGTGGATCACGTGAGGTTAGAAGTTCAAGACCTGCCCAGTCAATATGGCAAAACCCCATCTCTACTAAAAATACAAAATTAGCTGGGCGTGGTGGCACAAGTCTGTAATCCCAGCTATTTGGGAGGCTAAGGCACAAGAATCCCTTGAACCCATGAGGCAAGGATTGCAGTCAACCAAGATCACACCACTGCACTCCAGGCTGGGCAACAGAGTGAAACTCTATCTCAAACAAGCAAACAAACGTGTAAAAAGAAGAAACACATATATAATTCCTCAATCTGGAGATGGTTATTAATAATAACAGCCATTTGCTAAATTTCCTTTCAGAATGAAATAATGCAGTAGAGTGAGTTGCACTTTTTTAACAGACTCAGATCAAATTCCAGTCAAACTTACGGCCATTCACATTTCCACCACGAAGGTATATGAACACTTTTCTCTACATTTTCCCCACAGCTCTGTCATGGTTAAAGAATTTTGCCAATCTAACGGATGAAAATGGTATGCTTTCGTCATTCTCATTTATATTTCCTTGACTAAAATGGAGATTCAACACTTCTTGTGGGTTTCTTAGGAACATGCCAGACTTGGAAATACGTGCAAAACAGAAACATCATTTGATCACTTGCTCAACAATCATCTTACCGATTTTTGCTGCTCGAACATAAGTTTTTTATAGAAGAGATGGAACTGTTCAAAGCTGAGCTCATCTCTGTGTGCTCCTATTTCCTGTAAATATGAAAAAAGTGACATGATTTTTGATGTCCACCGTAAGAATGGCTCCAGGCTATTTATAGAATAATTTTTATTTCAGAAATTGCATGCAATTTTATTGGCATGCTGAAGAGAGAACTATGAAGAGACAGCAAATTAAATTGAGGACAGCCAGGTAGTTAAGAACAGGTGGATAAGGGTGGGAAGTTATGGCCAGGTGGGTAAGGATGGGTTTCTTAGGTCAGGAAATTAAGACTGGGTGAGCACGTTCATGAGTATTTAGTAAGGCCAGACGGATAAAGCCAGATTCATAATACCATGAGGATAAGATAAGGTGATTAAGACAATGAGATTAATAAATGAGATTAATCAATGAGATTAAGACAATGACATAAAAGCCATGACATTGTGTCATGGCTTTTGAAAGGAAAAAGTCATGCTATTTAACATGGCTTTTCTAAAACATTGGCTAAAATCAAACTCACATTCCTCTGAATCAAAACCCTCCACACGTTCCCTAATGTCCCTGGTCTGGGAAAACATACTCACAGGGACACCTACCAAGTAAGACCCTCCTTTGAGCCCCAAAACGGAAGAGTCTCAGCCAGGTTTGCAAGAGACATGATGTGTAACTCCTCCATTTTTGGGCAGAAAACACTCTCTTTGGACTTCCACCTTCAGACATATTTGTAGAGTACGTACATATAGGGCATTTTGTAAAGCACTGGGAGTCAAAGCTCAGCTCCAATTAATTGCTTTACGGCTTTGGGCAATTTCCTTGACCTTTTCAAACCCTCAGTTTTCTTTATCTGTAAAATGGGAGAACCACCACTACGCTCCTAGGGCTTCCCTAAAAGTGAACAAGATACCTGCAAAACACCTGGTTCCGTAAATACTTGATAAAGAATGAAATGCTGATTGTGTAGCAATCAATGGTAAATGCTTCTCCCATCTCTCTCCTCTTCTGACCTACTCTTTTCTCTTTTTCTATTCTTGGATTAATGTGGATTATTGGGGGCAAGTCAAAGGATGCTTGATAAGCAATAAAATAGGATAATTCTTCCAGGAGTTCATTAGCACAAAAATGAAATGAGCTTTTTCCACTGAGGAACGCCGTAATGGAGCCGATATTGACAATGGGTACTGGGGTCCTCCAACTGGGGCTACTGGGATGAAGCGTTGCTCATTTCCTAAGAAGAATGAGTACTACCCTGTAGGCAAAAATCAGTGCCCATCATCTCCATCCTTGCCTCACCTCCTCTACTATATCCCATCACTCCTGGAGTGGCTTTACTGCCCAGCCCCACCAACAACTTGATTACACAACAAAATTAATTAAATGATATACGGAAGGATGGATGGTTGGAGAAACAGAAGAATAAAGAGCCAACTCTGACAGCTACACTACCAGGACGTGCATACAAACTGCCACGGTCCTGGTACCCTACACAAGGAATTTTTCGTAATATTTTCCAAAAGACATACATGCAGCATTCATTTCACTAGGGAAAAAATGGGCTGAAGTATGGTCAGGGAAACAGGGAAAGCTTGACTAATGAAAAACAGGTCTGAGGGTAGATGTTCCAAGCCTAACAGCTCAGTAAACATGGTCTTTCTTGATTACATCCTCTGTGAGGATGGAGACTATGGTCCTCAGATATGTCTCTGATCCCTCTGTCTGAACTAAGATGTACTCTGGAGGCAAAGGACTTTCCTGGGCACTATTCCACGGAACTCAAAGGCAAGTCACGGCTTCATGAGAGAGGTTAAGTCACTCTGCATTCATACAATTCCCAGGCTGAGGCATGAAACTTACCACAAACTTATCTTTAAGGAACTTGGCACTGCTCACTTTAAAGTTGATCAGGGGCAAGATGGTCTTCAACTCTCGGAGACTGATGCTGCAAAACAGGGAGACTCAGCTCTGTCACCTTGAGGGTTTTCAACAGCACAGGATTTAGCGGCTCCCATCAGTTCCCACCTCGGGCAGCCCTCTATAAGAGCGCCTGGCCAACAGTTGTTTATGGAGCACTAACTAGGAACAAGACACTGGGTCAAGGTCAGGGCGACACTTCAATGAGCAAAGCTCAAGGGCACCCTTCAGGAATGTCCATAGATACAGGTCACACAGGAGACTCACAGTGTAGGGTGATGCCCCAATGAGGAGGCACCTACACTGGAGATCCCCAGTACAGGGTGATGTCCCAATGAGGAGGGCTGGTCCCCACCCTTCAGGAATGGCCACAGAGGAAGGTCCTGCAGGAGATTCAGTGTGGGCAGAAAATGGTGTCAGATGACCAGGTAATCTCAATACAAAATGCCACAGAAATCCCAAAGGCCCAATGTAGGTGTTGACATGATGTGATTTCTGGCCAGGACTCTGAATGTCAAAGTGAAGAAATTCAGTGAAGCTTGGGTAAACAGCAGGAGTAACTCTGACATGCTTCACGCAGCCAAACACTTTGTCACCTAATTAGTGACACACATGAAGGGATGAACAAGACTCCTACTGACTCCACCTGCCACCCAGAGGAACCACAACCACAGAACGGGCTTGGCAGAATCAGCCGGGAAAGGCCCAGCTGAGCTTGACTCTAGTCTGGCACTGTGAAGAGACAAGAGGGATGTAGAGTAAGTGGGGACACCCTGCACCCCCAAAATTAAGTTAAAAAATAAAGGTTTCTTTTAATGCCACTGGGGTTCAGAGTAAGGCAAGGTCACTAAGGGCCAGAGAGGGGAACTGGGAAGGAACAAGGCCTACATGAGCACCTACTGTATGCCAGGCTGCTCTGGGGTCATCCAGGTGTTACAGTTGCCTAATTGCTCACCAGATTCTATCTTCTGCAAAGTACACATGATTGACCCCCAGGGCTCAGAACAGCCAAGGGCGGGATGTCACAAGGGTACACAACTCAGGGCTTAGAGCTAGATAGCAGGCAGCAGACCCTGGAACTGAATCAAATTCCAGTGCTCGGTCACAGGAATCTGCATGAGTGTTTCTTTGAAGCCACATAGTGAGGTTCAGCTTAAGAGGGAAGAAAGGGCCGGGCGCAGTGGCTCACGCCAATAATCCCAGCACTTTGGGAGGCCAAGGTGGGCGGATCACGAGGTCAGGGGATCAAGACTATCCCGGCTAACACGGTGAAACCCTGTCTCTACTAAAAATACAAAAAACATTAGCCAGGCGTGGTGGTGGGCGCCTGTAGTCCCAGCTACTCAGGAGGCTGAGGCAGGAGAATGGTGTGAATCTGGGAGGCGGAGCTTGCAGTGAGCCGAGACCACGCCGCTGCACTCCAGCCTGGGTGACAGAGCGAGACTCTGTCTCAAAAAAAGCAAAAATGGAGGGAAGCAACGGAGAACACATCCCAGGCAAAAGGAGCAGCAGCAGTAGTAAGAATGGTAACAAAAGCTGAAACTTCAAAAGTGCTAATCAGGTGTCAGGTGTTGTTCTAGGTGGTGCCCTATAGGCATATTCACCTGTTAGATGCTTGTACAACTTACAAGGCAGGTACCATGATCATCTCCATCTTCCAGGTGAGGAAACTGAGGCACCGATCAGTTTGGTGCACACCTGACTGCCTCCCAGCGAGTAGCTCACACAACAACAAGAGGTTAAATTAGTGGCGTGAGTGGGTCAAGAATATGAGATCCAGACCCTTCTGGCTGGTGCCAAGTGTCCAGCAGAGCTAAGACAGGGTGGTCAAGAGAGGAAGCTTGCCCCAGCTTGTAGGAGAAAAGAGCCCTGTTTCCCTGCACCATCCTCCCAGCTTCTGCTGTGGCATGCGGAAGGAAGTAGCACGTCACTGCCCAGCCGCTGCCCTGGAGAAGGTCCAGTGTGACTCTGGCCATCCTGTGTCCCCACCTCCAGCCTTTTCCTCTGGTTCTAACGGCCTAACAGCAGAGACTTCAGCTGACAAGATGCTCCCCACCCACATACTCAAACCGTAGGGACACCACCCACGGTTTTCACAGACAGACCTCAAGGGCAGAAAAAGTCCCTGTTGGGCCAGCTGGGGCTGGCTGGGCAGAGCGGCCAGCAGGCTAGGAAATTCGCCCCAGGGGCTTGCAAGAACCTTTCTGCCTCGGCCCTGGGGGTGGTCCTAGGAACAGCTGGGCCAGGGCAGGATGAAGGTAGAGGAGCAGCAGGAACAGGCGCTGCCAGAGCAGCAGTGAGAGGGGTTGTGGGGAGAGGAGCCAGACCATGCTGGTGCCCCAGTGGAGCTCATCCTGGGAGCAAGGGGGAGGTCAAGGTCCCCCAGGAGCCCAGGCAGCAGCAGGGCAAAGGAACCATCCCATGTTCAGAAAGAGAGAGACTGAGGGGCCTGAAGGGCCAGAGCAGCTGCTCGAGAACCAGTGGAAAAAACCCAGGAACCTGGGACATGAGCATTCAAGCACCTGGGACATGGGAGCCCACCTGCTCCAAAGGCCTCCCCTTACAGTGTAAACACTGGAGGCTGAGAGCTTCTTTGGGCTCCCCGTGCCGGGACAGCCTCACCCGATTTCCCCCTAGGTGAGCCCCTGCCTCACTCCCACCTCTGGGTGTGTATGTCCTGCTGCGTGGCCCGACTGAAACCAGCACAGGCAGGCTGAGCCCCAGCGCTGCAGGGGAGGAAGCCAATGGCTCAGCTTCAGCCCTCTCTGCAACCTGTCATCCCCTAGAGAGAGTGCCTCGCCCAGGTCAAAGCCCCTTGCAAGGCAGCCAGCTCCTTGGACTGGCTGGTCCACGCATGGGAACGAAGGCCTGGACCTCTAGTCTCAATTCAGGACAGCTCCACAGGCCATGCTCAGAGCTCCCCATCAGGTCTGCCCGGGCCATGACTGTGACTCCCCGGCTGCCTGTTCCAGCGGCCTTCCCTTCCCCATGCTTTCCACAACCCCCCATGCACTCCCCAGTAAGCCTCCTGCACACAAACCTACATCTCAGATCGTGTTTCCTGGGGGCTCAGCCTAGAGCTGTGGGTTAGGAACCAAGGGAATCCCTTTGGGGAAGGACGGCAACTATTCCCTGAATGACTCACCAACAGCCCCTCCCTCTCCCATGGCAGACAGCACTAAACAATCACAGTGTCCTCCCTGCTCAGCCCGGGAGGCTCCCACGGTTCTTCAACTCTGCACCCAGGCAGCCATCACCAAACAATTAAAGATGGCAGCCCCATGACACTTACCAGTCACGCTGAAGCTGGGCCAGCACCTCCACTGCCCCCAGCTCTTTTGCAGCAACAACAGCAATAAGAAACGTTCTCGTTAAGTGCTTACCACGAGCCAGGCACGGTCCACGCACCCTTCACATATTAACTCCTGAACCCTCACATCTGCCCTGGGAGGTGGGAACTATTACTTTTATCTTTTACACAAATGAGGCCCAGAGAAATTAAATCATTTACCCCAATTCACACAACCAGTTACTGTGAGATCTGAGATTCAAACCTCAACGCTGTCTGACAACTTTCGACAATGATGGAGACATCTGTGCTGTCTGAGGTACTAGCCGCCAACCACTCGGGGCTGTTGAGCCTCTGAAATGCAGCTAGTTCCACTGAGGAGCTAAGTACTTTTATTTTGTTTTGTTTTGTTGAAATGGCCACCTGTGGTGAGGGGCGCCCCACCAGACCTCGCAGCCCCAGAGTTCTGCTTCTGTAAGTAGCTCCCAGACCAGCAGCATCTACATCACCTGGGGATTGGTTGAAATGCAAATTCTTGAGCCCTGCCCACCACCGACTCAATCAGCCACTGTGAGGTGGAGCCCAGCAGCCCCCACGTTCACAAGTCCTCCAGGGGATTCCGATGCATGCTGACATTTGAAAACTGCTCTCTAGTCAGCTCTAATCTTCAACCCCAGCTTCACAGTAGAATCTTATTTTAAAAAAATTCCAATGCCAGAGGCCATGCCCAGGACAGTAAAATCTGAATCTCTACTGGTGCGGCTCTGCTAAAGCTCCCCAGGGGACTCTAATATTCTGGAACCTCGAATAGGAAGCCTATTTGCATTCACGTTGAAGGAGATAAATGGACCCACCCACCCACCTTCCACCTGCAACCCCCTCGCCCTGTGCCACCTCCTCCTCTGTCCCTGCCAGGGCTAAAGGACAAAGGGAAGTGCACATCCTGCTTATGCAAATCCAATGTTATAAGGCACGGGGGCAAGGGCAGAGGAGGGAAAGGAAGTACGTGTTGGTGAGGATATGAAGAAAATAGAAACCTGTGCATTGCCATGGGAAGGTATAGCTACAACAGAAAACAGTATAGCAGTTCCGCAAAAATAGACAGAATTACCATTTGATCCAGCAAGTCAGCTTCTGGATATATACACAAAGGAATCTGAAGCAGAGACTCAAACAGATTTGTACACCCATGTTCATAGCAGCACCATTCACAATTGCCAAAAGGTGGAAGCAATTCAAGTATCCATCGATGGACAAGTAAACAAAATGTGGTCTGTCTGTACAATGGAACATTATTCAGCCTTAAAAACGAAGAAGATTCTAATACATGTTACAACACAGATGAAACTTGGAGACATTACACTAAATGCAATAAGCCAGATACAAAAGGACGAATATTGTATTAGTCCACTTATACGAGGTACCTGGAGCAATCCAGTCCAGAGAGACAGAGAGTAGAGTGGTGGTTTCCAGGGGCTAAAGAGAGAAGCAATGGGGAGTTACCACTTAATGGCTGCAGAGTCTCAGTTTGAGACGATGAAAAAGTTCTGGAGATGGATGGTGGTGACGGGAGCATGACAACATGATACACTTCATTCCATAGAACTACCTATCTAAGAACGGTTAAAATGATCAGTGTTGTTCTATGATTTATTGTTGTTACCACACTAAAACAAATTTTAACATTTTAGTTTTTTTTAATTATAAGGTGATTGGTCAGGGTGGGGAAGGAAAGATTTCTCTATTTCCCCCAGCTCTCAACAGCACAATTCTTTTTGTTTTTGTTGTTTTTGGTTTTGTTTTGTTTTGTTTTTTAATGGGATCTCACCCTGTTGCCCAGGCTGGAGCTCAGTGGCACAATCATGGCTCACTGAAGCCTGGACCTCCCTGGGCTCAGATGATCCTCCCACCTCAGTCTCTCAAGTAGCAGGACTACAAATGTGCACCACTACACCCAGCTAACTTTTTTGTACTTTTTGTACAGATGGGGTTTCGCCATGTTGCCCGGACTGGTCTCCAACTCCTGAGCTCAAGCGATCCACCTGCCTTGGCCTCCCAAAGTGCTAGGATTACAGGTGTCAGTCATCATGCTCAGCCAATAGCACACTTAAAAAAAAAAAAGAAAGAAAGAAAGAAAAGCGGCCGGGCGCGGTGGCTCATGCCTGTAATCCCAGCACTTTGGGAGGCCAAGGTGGGCGGATCACAAGGTCAGGAGATCAAGACTATCCTGGCTAACGTGGCGAAACCTCGTCTCTACTAAAAATACAAATAATTAGCCGGGCATGGTGGCAGATGCCTGTAGTCCCAGCTACTCAGGAGGCTGAGGCAGGAGAATGGTGTGAACCTGGGAGGCGGAGCTTGCAGTGAGCTGAGATGACGCCACTGCACTCCAGCCTGGGCAGCTGAGTGAGACTTGGTCTCAAAAAAAAAAAAAAAAAAAAAAAATAGGGAAAGCAACACCAGGGGGGATAGTAAGTCTGCAAACCCTGGTGCCACCCCTGACAACCTGGGCTACTTTAGTCAAGTCACTTAACCTCTCTGGGCCTCAGTGTCCTCACATAGAAAATGGGTCTGAGAGCACCTAGCTCACCCATCAGCCAAGAGGGTATCTGGGTATCCTAAGGATGTAAAGTGCTTATTACAGCCATGACTGCAAAGCAGGCTATAAACAAATGCCCGCTGCTACCATTTGCCTCTAGAAAAGTCTAAAAATGAAACAGGGTGCTTGGGCCAAGCAAAACACCTAAGACTTGTCCATTGCCCAGGCTGGGCCAACCCTGAGCCTGCCCCCTCTCGCCTTCAGTCTTTCCTCTGCATCTGTGGCTCCTTTGTTTTCTTTCAGGAAACATGATTAGTCTCGTGGGTGACAGGAAAGGGAGGGAAATTGGCAGAACAGAAGTTGGTTGCTCTTTCATTGGCACCTTGGTCAAAGTTTCTTTTGCAAAGCTCCCTCCAGGCTTCCCAGAACCACGGGTAAGGTGGGATTTTCCACATGTTGACAGAGAGCAGGGCTCCGCCCACTGGGAGGGAGGTTGGAGGAGAGGAAGCCAGTGAGCACGCAGGGATGAACTCAGTCCAGAAACAGAAAAGGTTCTCTCTGCAGAGGGTCCTGGACCAGCCGATGGGAAGATGGATCTTTATGCAGGACTTGCCAGAATCCCTCCTGAGCAAGAGGGAGGTATCCATTTCCTGACTTCACAGATGAAAAGCAGACTTCAGAGCCAGACTGGCCACCCCATACCAGCACCGCGTGGAGAGAGGCACTGAAGGTGGCTCCCTCCCTCAGCCCTGTGCCAGTTTCAGCTATGATTCACCATAAGCCACGAAGAAAGAAAATGCAGAGAAGGCATCACCTCTGAGGCTGAAAGAGACCAGTGTCTACCAAATTTTCCAACACAAGGACCTCATTTAATCCACCTCAGTAACATTAGAGGGTGGCCCAGCATGGGGGAGCAGGCAGGGCATGTTGGATGAGAAGAAGAGGAGGGAGAAAGGCAGGTGGACAGAAAAACATGGAGTGAGCTAATGGCTGACCTAACTTTACTAGACTTTTAACCACTTCCTGCTTAAGAGTTCCAAATCCTCCCACTGGGCATGAGAAGAGACCAGGGAAGCTCACCCAAACCCTGAAGCCAACAAGTAACAGAGGACATTGACCAGACAGGAAGTCACCCTTCAAGATGGAAAGATTTTCAGGAACAAAATAGGAGAGCTGATAGAGTTTAGTTACTGGATATTAACTAGGATAATGACATATCTAGATAGGATAATGACATATCCACATAGGATAATGACATAAATAAACCAAGAATGAACGAAAGGAATATTTTATCAAAAAAAATAAGGCGTCTCATGTGAGGCTAACATGAGATAAGGACTGAAGTGCTCAATGCAATTCCTGGCATGCTAAATACACAGGTGTTAAATAAATCGTAGGGGTTTTTTTGTTTTTGTTTTGGGTTTTGTTTGTTTGTTGTCGTTGTTGTATTTTGTTTGTTTGTTTCTTTGGTTTGGTTTTTGAGACGGAATCTTGCTCTGTCACCCAGGCTGGAGTGCAATGGCACGATCTCAGCTCACTGCAACCTCCACCTCCCGGGTTCAAGCGATTCTCCTGCCTCAGCCTCCTGAGTAGTTCGGCCTACAGGTGCACGCCGCCACGCCTGGCTAATTTTTTGTATTTTAGAAGAGACAGTGTTTTACCATGTTGCCCAAGCCGGTCTCAAACCCCTGAGCTCAGGCAATCTGCCTGCCTCTGCCTCCCAAAGTGCTGGGAATATAGGCGTACTCTACCATGCCCAGCCAAATGGTAGTTTTTATCATTACATTATTAAGAGCTGAATCATACCTCAGAAAAAAATAATGAATTAAAAATGCTCAACCTCACCCATAAAGAAAGCAAGTTTAAGCAAAAACACTTGGTTGCCTCGGTTGCAGATGAACAAAGATCAAAGTCTAATGGCACAATAAATCATCAGGAAATGGACGCCTTCTTGCCCCACTGGTAGAAATATTATATAAATTGCTACTTCTAGCTATCAAACGATTAGACCAGCAAACACTGAGCTGCTGATATTCATTTCTGAGAATTTATCCTACTCACAGCCACCTCAAATGAGTTTACAGAAAGATAGACCCAAAGGTTTCCATAGCAGCATTATTCACAATAATAATCAAGGATTGGGAGCAGCTCTCTGTGCATCAAGAAGGAAATGATTTCTGAAATGACAATGCATTAATCTAAGGAAAAACCAAAATGACGTTTACTTTTTTAAAAAAAAAAGTCTGGGTAAGACCTCACCTCTGCAAAAAGTAATAATAATAATAAATAAGCCAGGTATGGTGACACACACCTGTAGTTCCCAGCTACTCAGGAGGCTGAGGCAGGAGGATCATTTGAGCCTAGGAGTTTATGGCTGCAGCGAGCTATGATTGTGCCACTGCACTCCAGTCTGGGCAACAGAGAGAGACCCTGCCTCTAAAAAATAATAATAATAGTCTGGCATAGAGCGTTGTGCAGGACTGATAGGGAGCTTCTCCAAGAGGTACTTTTAAGTGAAAAAGTCAAGTAAACTGAATACACATTATCACATCACCCAACACATCTCTACCAGCCCTTAGAACCACCTGGTGCCCCAGCACAGTGGCTCATGCCTGTAATCCCAGCACTATGGGAGGCCAAGGTGGGTGGAACACAAGGTCAGAAGTTCGAGACCATCCTGCCAAACATGGTGAAACCCTGTCTCTACTAAAAATACAAAAAAAATTAGCCAGGTGTGGTGGTGGCGCCTGTAGTCCCAGCTACTTAGGAGGCTGAGACAGGAGAATGGCGTGAACCCAGGAGGTGGAGCTTGCATTGAGCTGAGATATGGCCACTGCACTCCAGCCTGGGCAACAGAGCGAGACTCCATCTCAAAAAAATAAATAAATAAAATAAAGAACCACTTGGTTTACTTCTTCACAGTCAGTCTCTCTCCTGTCACAAAGTATGGGCTGGTGCCATCATGATTGTGTTTACTGCTGTATTCCCAGGATATTAAAGGTGCTCAAATATTTGTGATGAGGTCCTAATGCCCCATGGCAGAGATCATCTCTAAGGCTGGACTCGAATTTTCTGCTGGAATAGAGGCTCCCTCCAGGAGGAAGATTTTGTCATCATCAACCCCAGGACCCAACATGGCATCTGCAGATCACATTGGACGCAGTGAGGACCTTGCCCACCACAAGTCATGCTCCCACCCTCTTGGAAGGTTTAAAGAAAGAATGAAGATGGAAATCCAAAGTGATCAGAAGAAAACTGAATGACTCTTACCTGTTTCTTCTGGTTTGATCCACAGAATATATCTGCTTTCTCAGCCAACTGGAAAGAAATTTGAGACAAAAGAAAGAGAGACAGAGAAAATTTAAAAATAGCGTAAGTCTAAGTGAGTCCTACAGGATGTGCACAAAAGGAACTGGAACCAAAAGGAGGGGTTTTCCAACTTTCTAACAAGGGCAGCTTGGGAAGAAGTTTTCTCCTAGTATCTAAGCCAAGATCTCAACTCAAAAAGGCCAGGTTTCCTTACACTGACAACTCCTTCTAATGATAGTCATTAATCCTCAAAAACCTAGAAAGAAAAATAGTACAAAGTAGAGGAATTTGATTTAGTGGAAGGAAAATAACTCACACCCCAATGCCCATCCAGACTCCCATGACACTGAAGAGACAGTCTTGAGGTCTTCATCAACCCAGGAGGGAGTGATAGGTGGAAAATTCCAGACCCTGTATCTATCCTTTGATCAGTCCACTTAATCTCTTATTAAATCCTTTAAGAAGGAAGCCCTGTTTTCCCCAACGCATACCCCAGGAATGTTTCTATCTCCAGTCCCATGCACCACTCACCCCAATAGGCCAAGGCTGAAAACTAGCACAGGGAAATGCTCTTATTTGAAACATTGTAGGGCTCACACCGCTACTAGGCACTCATTGCATGCAAGACACTCAATGAGTCTCAAAAAACCAACGTCCCCCTTTTTTGTTTTCCTGTAGCCCATGTTGGCAAAGGCAGCAGAATAAAGGAATCAGTGACTATGTAAATAAACAGGCAAAAGCCAGCTACCTCTCGATAATGGTGGGTGTGGACGCATTCATCGCTTCTTGGTGTAAGATTTTCAAGCCGGAGAGCCAATTAAGTGCATCTTCTTTAGAGTCAGCTGGAGTGGAGAAAGGGAACAGAAATGCTGTGTTAATTCCTGGGAAGACATCTGCTGACAAAGCCCGGCCCCATACAGATCACGAAGATGGGAGAAGCCTATGCTGGTTTCCAGTTTTGCAGGAGGCAAAGAAAGCATCTCTTTCACACTCTCATAGCTCTAGGACCTGCTTTTTGTCTGAGACGGGGCCACATATTCATGATGAGCTTTGTACCACAGGGGTGACAAGTGGGTTATTTCCTGTGCCAAATGGAATTAGCACATATATAATATATATGTGCTAGACACTGTTCTAAGTGTTTTTCTTATATTGATCCCACAAGGGAAGTACTATTATATTCCCATTTAACACATGGAGAAACCACTGAACCTAAGACAGGTTCAGTGATGTGTCCAAGGCCACACAGCTCCTAGCAGCCATTATAGACTGAATATTTGCATTCCTTCAGAATTCATATGTTGAATCTCTAACCCCTGATGTAGGGCCTTTGTGAGGTATTTAGGTTTAGATGAAGTAACGAGGGTGGGGCCTCCATGAGGGGATTAGTGCCCTTTTAGAGACAAGAAAGAGAGACCAGAGCTCCCTTCCTATCCAAGCACACCCTGAGGAAAAGCCATGTGAACACATAGCAAGAAGGCGGCTGTCTGCAAGTCAGGAAGAGAGCCCTCACCAGAACTCAACCATGCAACATCTTGATCTTGGACTTCCCAGCCCCCAGAACTGTGAGAAAATAAATGTCTGTTGTTTAAGCCCCTCAGTCTACGGCATTTTGTTATAGTAGCCAGACTATGCTGAGACAATGGAAGACATAGGATTTTAAACAAGAACCCATTATCTTACCCTGGCAGCACACTGACTCCAGGAATGAAAAAGCGAAGGAATTCAAACCCAGGTGTCCAACTCCAGAGCAGAGTTTCTCAACCCCAGCTGCTCAGGAGAATCACTTGAGGGCTTTTCAAAACCCCAATACTTAGGTCCCACCCTAAAGTAATTAAACCAGAAGAGAGGGATGAGGGAGACATCAACAGGTGGAAGCACCCACATGGTGCCAAAGTGTGTCAAAGGTTATCAGCTTCCTCTGCTGCTATAACAAATGACCACAAACTTAGTGGCTTAAAGTAATACAGATTTACTTTCAGACCGTGAGAGAGGCCAAAATTCTAAAATAGACTGGTTGCATACAATCCTTCTGGATTCCTTCTAAAAGCTCTTGGGAAGAATCCATTTCCTCACCTTTCCCAGCTTCCAGAGGATGCCTGCATTCCTTAGCTCATGGCCTCTCATCTTCTGACCTTTGTTTCCATCCTCATATCTCCTTCTCTGGGAATGACCTTCCCATGTATCTCTTATAAGAAGCCTTGTGATTCCACTGGACACCCGGATAGTCCAGGATATTTCCCATCTCAAAATCCTCAATTTAACTACACCCATAAAGTCTCCTTTTCCATAGAGGATAATATATTCACAGGTTCCTGGGATTAAGACATGGACATCGTGGGAGGGCAGTATTCAGCTTCCCATGGCTTAGGAATTTAGCTTTTTGTTTTATTAAAGAGTGTTAGCTTTTAACCCTATGCTAACTAATAAGATGCAAGATCTGGAATAATCTGCACCACAACCCTAAGCAGCTGTCAGTATTTCCCTGCTTCTAATGAAGATGGCACAGAGGGATGGCAAGTAGAGCTTGCTAATAGCCAGGAGAGGATGGCTTGCTAATACCCATGGTTGCTATTACCCTTGCTAATAAGCAACATTGAGGAGTGGTTAAGAGCTTGGCATCTGGCAAAAGGAAGATCATAGCTTAAGTCCCACTGCACCACTTCAGGGCTGTGTGACATTCAGCGGGTTACTTAACCCTACTCTGTGCCTCATCTCACCTGGAAAATGAAGCTGACAGTGCAAACACCTCACGGAACTATGAAGCCTCTCCTTAAGCACCAGGTACTTCGCCAGTGCGTACACCCCGGGCAGAGATTGCTGCTCTCATCTTTCCACACAGATGCAGAGGAAACTGAGGCTCTGAAGGGCTGAGTTTGTCTCAGAGCAGTAAGTGAGAGGGTGGAATGGGAATCAAAATCTTGACCATCACTGTGCTAACCTTGAATTTAGGGTTCCAGAAGAGGCTCCCAGAGTGGGATATATATCAAAGTTCACATCCTAGCCTCCAAGGGCTGGGCTCTTGTGGTCTCCTTACCACGTTAAGAACAGGGGGTCAGGGCTCAGCCTGTAGGTGGGGCTAAGGAGACAGAGGTGTGAAGCTTCATGGCCACGGGACTTGCCCTCCTGCCCCACCTCTACCAACACACTCCACATCATTAATCAGATATTCGCTCCTCATTTCCTACATCTAACGTGCTATTTCCCTCCTCCAAGCCCTGTCGTACACCACAGCCTTTCCCTGGAGCGCCCTCCCTCTTTCCTCCAAACTCCTACTGAAGCCTCAAAACCCAATGTAAAAGTCACCTTCTTTGCCCAACTTCTCTGAAACTAAGCATTCACAGCACGCTGCATCATGCTTGCACTAGGTCTTATCCTAGTGCACCCATCTGTCTCCCCAAGTAGACTGAGAGCGTCTTAAAGGCAGCACCAGGTGCCATTCATCTTCCTAGATCACTGGCGTGTACACAACCTAACACAAAGTATAGGCTCAAAAGATGTGTAGTAAAAGAATGAATGAGAAATTCATAAGTTATTTGACCCTAAGTAAATGTCCCTATATTGCTCAACTTTCAGAGCTGCCTCCACTTTGGTCTATTTTAATTGTATTGATTTTCTCTCTGAGTCATGAATGTATACATACTTCTAAGTCAATAAATTCTAGGACTGAACTTGAAAGTAACTACAAGCTTCTGCCCCTGAGTAAAATGAGGAAACTGCATGTGCGTGTGCAATAGAAGATCTCAGGACAGTTCCTTCACATCAGTCAGATTTGCTGAGCCACATCTGCTGGAGGAAAACAGGTTACATTTTTCTTTTCTTTTCTTTTCTTTTTTTTTTTTTTTTTTGAGACAAGAGTCTTGCTCTGTTGCCCAGACCGGAGTGCAGTGGTGCAATCTTAGCTCACCGGTTCAAGCAACTCTTGTGTCTCAGTCTCCCAAATAGCTGGGACTACATGTGCACACCACCACACCCAGCTAGTTCTCCTATTTTTAGTAGAGACGGGGTTTCACCATGTTGGCCATGCTGGTGTGAAACTCCTGACCTCGAGTGATCTGCCCACCTCGGCCTCCCCAAGTGCTGGGACCACAGGGATGAGCCCAGCCTACATTTTTCATCCAACAGAGCCTGGCCTTCAGTGTTAAGACTATCTAATCATCATTTATTCAGCTCTCAGCATGAGCCAGAGACACACTTAACATACCCCTCACAATACCCCGATGAGATAGGCATTACTATTCTCCCCATTTCACAGCTGAGCAAACTGCAGCTCAGAGAGGTTAAGTCACTCATCTAAAGACACACAGCTAGAAAGGGGCAGGGCTGGGATTCGAAACCATGACCCCAAATACACATCAGCCAGCAGGCAGGGGTGAGCCAGGAAGAGACTAAGGCACAGGGAAGGAGAAAGGCACAGAAACATGCATCTACCTGCCAAGCTGAGTGTGCTGAGGACGAACTGAGTGCCATACAGGATGGTGAAGCAGCAATCTTCTTTCTGGCGAACCGCTTTTGCACGTTCGAAATCTTTGGAGTTCTTCCCTGGGCGGATTTCTTTTATTTCCATGATATCCACTACAATGAAATTAACATGAGCCAATTAGAAGCTGGAGTTCACTCCACCTGAGGACACAGTCACACACCTGCAGCCCAGGCACAGCCTGGCTCCTTCCTTCCCCAACAGGATCCCGCAAAGCTATCTGTGCATCCGGATTCAGTGCCCCCTCCTTCTGGAAATGAACAAAGGGCCAAGAGCCTACCTGGGCATTTGCTGCCACCCCACAAACCCGTGGAGTATGAAGAGTTTGGGGTTTCCACTCACCCTGCTTCTCAGATAGACACGTTTTAAACTAGGACAATTAATTTTTGTAATGCAACTCAGATTTGAGAAAATAGGCACAGACTATTCTACCAAAACAAACAATGGACCAAACTGATGCTCACTAGAGATCACTCTAGGCAGCCTAAAAGTTCCAACCATCCGGTTGACCTTGACCTTGACCATCTTTTCCCTTGAGTCCCAAAAGCTACAAATGCTCTGTGGCTCAACTGAAAGGGGAAAAGAAAATGAAGGCACTGAATAACTGTTTCAAATTAAAAATAATAATAAGAGGCCAACCTCAGCATTGGGGATGGTCACAGTGGTTCTGGATATCACAGGGCCTACGGGAAGAGAGTGGTAAACTATTACTCTGGTAACAGTCTAGAGTAATGGAGTGTTACTAAAGGGCCACAGCCTCCGGTATTTATGCCTTATATACCCAGCTGCCCTTCAATCCAGGTTGTCTCTGTGACCTGTTTTAACCAATAAAATGTAGTATAAATCAGGGACTCCAACCCCCACGCCATGGAATGGTACCGGAAAGTGAGCACTGAGCTCCACCTCCTGTCAGATCAGCAGGGCATCAGATTCTCATAGCAGCGCAAACCCTATGGTGAACTGCATTACGTTCTCACAGGGGCGTAAACCCTATGGTGAACTGCATTAGATTCTCATAGGAGCACAAACCCTATGGTGAACTGCATTAGATTCTCACAGGGGCACAAACCCTATGGTGAACTGCATTAGGTTCTCACAGGGGCGTAAACCCTATGGTGAACTGCACATGCGAGGGATCCAGGTTGTGTGGTCCTTATTGGAATCTAATGCCTGATAATCTGAAGCAGAACAGTTTTATCCTGAAGCAACCCCCCCAATGCCCCCACCATCTATGGAAAACTGTCTTCTAGGAAACTGGTCACTGGTACCGAAAAGGTTGGGAGCACTGGCACGCTGGCATAAATGATGCTGTGCCAGTTCAGGGCCTAACCCTTTTTTTTTTTTTTTTTTTCCTGAGATGGGGTCTCACTCTGTCACCCAGGCTGCAGTGCAGTGGTGTGATCTCAGCTCACTGCAACCTCTGCCTCCTGGGTTCAAGCAATTCTCCTGCCTCAGCCTCTGGAGTAGCTGGGACTACAAGCATGCGCCACCATGCCGGGCTTAATTTTTGTATTTTTAGTAGAGATGGGGTTTCATCATACTGGCCAGGCTGGTCTTGAATTTCTAACCTCAAGTGATCTGCCCGCCTCAGCCTCCCAAAGTGCTAGGATTACAGGCGTAAGCCAGAGGGCCCAGCCTGGAGCCTAATCCTTAAGAAGGCCTGGTACCTTCCATTTTGAGCTCTGGGGAAAGCCAGCCTCTGTGTAAGAAATCAGACTACCTGGAGACCACCATTCAGTAAGAAGCCCAAGTCAGCCTTATGGAGAGGCCATGGAAGGAGAACCAATGCCCTCAGCCAACAGCCCAGCTGAGCCCCCAGCCAACAGCCACAGAGCACTGCACCATCTTAGAAGTGGATCCTCTGGGCCGGATGCGGTGGCTCACGCCTGTAATCCCAGCACTTTGGGAGGCCGAGACGGGCGGATCATGAGGTCAGGAGATCTAGACCATCCTGGCTAACAAGGTGAAACCCCGTCTCTAGTAAAAATACAAACAAACAAAAAAATTAGCCGGGCGTAGTGACGGGCACCTGTAGTCCCAGCTACCCAGGAGCCTGAGGCAGGAGAATGGCGTGAACCTAGGAAGCAGAGCTCGCAGTGAGCTGAGATCGCACCACTGCACTCCAGCCTGGGCGACTGAGCGAGATTCTGTCTCAAAAAAAAAAGTGGATCCTCTGGTCCCAGTGAGCTGCCCCAGCTGACAACATGTGGAACAGAGACAAGCTCTCCCAGTCCCCACCCATGCCCAGATTGTAGAAATATGTGCAATAAATAAAATGATTTTTGTCTTAAGCCACTAAACACTGGGATAGTTGGTTGTATAGCAATAGATAACAGAAACAAATAAGAAATTCTTCCTCTCTGCAACCTCTGCTGCCATGAGACTCCACCTACTCCTGGTCAAAACCTACTGGGCCAGGATGGCAACGTGACTGACTCAAAGGTGACTCCCCCTTCTCCCTACAAGATGACCAGTGAACTCTGGACTGGCACAGAGACACGAGCTCAACAAGCTCAACCAGTCCCTTCTTTCCCCTTCTTCTGAAAAACAACAACAACAAAAATCTTTTCATGGGATGAACCCATTCCTTGTGCTTTATTTAGAACTGATTCACTCCTCACCACCTTCAACCATAAGCTGAAGGGGACAGCAGGGGCCTGGGAATGACCCAAGTGCCCTGGCTCAGTGACTGGTTCGGGGACAGACACATGGCCCAGCTGCACCATCAGCTTCCTCCTGGGATTCATTGGGCCAGGACTACCGGTAAAACCTCCCCTCCACTGCTGCTCCCAGGCTGGTAAAACATGAGCCTGGGAGTGGCAGGGATCACCTTGTCTACCATGGAACAAAGTGTTATCAAACCCTGGTGTACCTTTGAACTCCAGCACTCCTGGAGATGAGAGTGAGAAAGGAGATCTCAGCTTTGCAGCAAGAAGAGGTGGCTCTGGCCTGGAATTAAGGAAGAGGACAGAACGAAGTCCACAGAGGTGAGCAAAGGCATCTTAGAGTCACAGTGAAACAGCAGGAAAGATTGGTGGCCATTCACAGGCAACAATGGGAGCTGGGGGAGGAGAGCAGACAATTAAGTTAGAGGAGAGGGGATGGGATGCGCTCAAAGCTTTCTGAGTTCTTACCATGGGTCTAGCTCAGTTAGAAACAGCTCAATGGGCAAGAGCCATGTGAACACAAGCCGGGCACAGTGGCCCACGCCTGTAATCCCAGCACTTTGGGAGGCCGAGGAAGGCAGGTCACTTGAGGTCAGGAATTCGACACCAGCCTGGCCAACATGGTGAAACCCTGTCTCTACTAAGAATACAAAAATTAGCTGGGCTTGGTGGCACATGCCAGTTGTCTCAGCTACTTGGGAGGATGAGGCAGAAGAATCTCTTGAACTCAGGAGACGGAGGTTGCAGTGAGCCGAAATCACCCCACTGCACTCCAGCCTGGGTGACAGGGTGAGACTTCGTCTCAACAACAACAACAAGGCCATGTGAAAAGACTAAAACAACAGCATGTCATCTGCATTCTGTGCATGTATGGTGGTAGATATACCCACCTACACGTGACAAGATTTCACAGAACTACACATCAAAACAAGTGCAAAATAACAAGAAAACTGAGTGTACGTAAAAAATGGTGAAAGCCAATTAAGATCTGCAGTTTCATTAATAGCACTGTACCAGCATCCACATCCAGGTTTTCATAACTATGCTTATGAAAGATGTTATCACTGGAGCAGCTAAATGAAAGGTTCACAGAAACTGTACTATTTTTGCCACGTCCTCATGAGTCTACAATTATTTCAAAATAAAAAGTTGCTAAAATCACTTCTCAATTATGGGTGGCCCTATTATTAGGGGGGTGGTATCTCTAAACCTTGTTGGGTGGAGTATTTGGGATGAAGGTGAGAGAGAGTAGAGATAGGACTCATCCCCCGTCACACCCCACTGAGAACCGCTACTACAAGCTGGCTGTGGGGACCATAACTAGTGGGGACCCCATCCAAACCTTGCACTATAAATCTTGTTCAATGGGCCATGCCCACTGATTGCAGACACTGAGGAAACTAAAATAAGCAGCTCCCATCTTAAATATTACTCAAGGGAGTTAACCCTATTGCCCGCATGTGCATGAGACCTGAAGAATGACCAGTCCTCCACTTTAGCTGCATTCTAATACTAAAAATCATGCCCAAGGTTGGGGATTTAACACATTAATGAGACATGCAAACATGAAGAGGCTCTCTATCCTGTTATACTGTGCAGGTGTCAGATGTTCCCCAACTCTATGTGCTTCAATATCACTCCCTGCCCATTTGAGCCCCTTTAAAATTACTCTCCTGACTGTCTTCGGGGAGCCAGGCAGAGAATTATCTCTCTCGTGCTGCTTCTCTTATGCCTGGGCATAAGCTCCAATAAAGTCTTGTCTGGGAAAACTCTTTTGGCCTCATGTCAATTTCTATCACACTGAGAGCCCAAGAACACATGGTCAGTAAAAGATGGACGTGTCGCCACTCTTCACCCAAACCAAAAATCGGAGTCTTCCTTATCTCTTCTCTTTATCTTCACTCCTCAAAAACAAACAAACAAAAAGATCCTTTTCATGCATTGAAATTTATTTATTTTTATTTGTTTCATTTATTTGGGGGAAGCTTGAGTACTTAAAGTATAGACTTCACGGTGTTGCACCCCAAAATACTTAATGTATCTCAGAAAAATGAGCACGTTTTCTTATACAATCATAAAACCTTTATTGCATCTAACAAAACTGATGATAATTACTTAACATAACCTAACACCTCGTCTGTATTTAAATTTCCCCAGTTTTCTCCAAATCTTTTTACAGTAGACTTAAATACA